TAGACGGTACACAGCCTCAAGGGCATGGCCAGGGCAAAGGTCTGAAGAAGTAGTCAGCCTAGCCAGCACAGAAGCAGGCAAAACCATGCAACTGCCAGCCATGCTCTCCAAAACCATCTTACCGGTGCAATGGGGCATTTTCATTCCATACACAGCTGGAAGCTTTAAGGCCTCCAAGAGCTAACATCTTTGAAATACTCTGTTCTATCCTATTCCCAAAATGGGAAGGTTTCTGCTTACATGTGAGGATGATTTTCTTCCTACATATCATCCCTACAGCGGGCTCAACTCGGCAGCCTGCATAGCCTTGGTTCTCCTGCTGCGTTGTTGCCTTTCCTTGCAACCCAGATCTTGAGACACGTTTTCCTTCCTTTGCTGGGCTTTATCTGGCAAATCATTTTTCCATGACCACTACTTCACTTGCTCCATTACTACACAGAGCATCTGCAAAAGCACTTTCAGTTCCAAAACCAACTATTTCTATCAGACAGAATGATGATTTAGAGCGTTTTGTGCTTTCTAGCAACCCCAAAAGAATGATTAATCCCTGATTCAGGTGTACCTCATTATGCTTTTGCCCACAGAGGCTAAACTAGCAAGTCTCCTGTGACCACCTCTCCTACTACTGCAAAAAGACTTCCATGTTTTCTCCAAAACCACTTCCTACACCTTTTATCTTTGAAGATCATATCTGACTAGATGCTCATAAGACACGCGGTTTTAGTGTTACATGGCTCCTGGTCATGGCCTGTAGCCCTGAGACAGTATACCTCAGTGTAGGATCCCGGTATACAATGACCTCAAAAAGGCTTTTGGAGATGCCTTTTTTTTTGTGTGTGTGTGTGTGGTTTTTTTCTGGGGTTTTTTGTTTTTGTATATAGAGAGATTTCCTTGATCTTGAGCTCATTTTATCAGTCTCAGAACAAGACTGGGCATGTGTGGATCTCTGTAATCATCTACAAAAAAATGCCTACAAGAAATTGCCCAATGGTCCAAATAAAAGTGCTAGAAATCAAATTACTTGTTCCAGCAGAGGACCTGATCGCCCTTCACTAAGGAAGCACACGTGCCACATGTCCCATGACAATAATGAAAACTATCGCCTTGTCTCACCCTCTTGAACTTTCTCCTTCCTCCCTAATTTCAGGTGACAACTCCCAGAAGAGCTGGTAAATGGACATATCCAGCAGACCACATCTAACTACACCTGCACTGCCACGACAGCTCAAGCCTGGCTCACACAAACTAAACTCCCCAGCAGTCTGCACTACCAGTGTGCTGGTTTGGACATTTGTTGAAGGGTACAGAGCTAGCTGGTCCTCCAGAGGAAAAACTGGCATAGGACAGGCATAAACCTGAACTCAACCCCAGCCACCACAGGCAGCATAGCTACAGCTGTGCATTACCCACTGCTTTGTCTTCCTGCAGCACAACTTAGGCTTAGTCAAACCTAGTTAGACCAGGGGAGAAAGGGACATCATCTCCACGCACAGCTGAGAAGTATTTTGAAAGGCTCCACTCACCCAGGGGAGTGTCCACCAGGATTGCATTGTAGAGCTCCGCAGGCGTCTGAGCAATGTTCACAGCTTCCATCTGCTCGAAACTTCCCAGAGGATGACACTTGGGCACCAGTTCAGAGATCGAACGCTGGTGCAGAGTCCCAGTGATCAGCAAAATGACATTGTCAATCATATAGCTGTATCTGGAGGAATGCAAAAGGAAGCCTGTCATGATACAAATCATACAAAAACCAGCCCCTGGCACCAGGTACATCTTCCAAAAGATGTACCCTTCCCACAAAGAACTAGTAAGGTGCCTCCTTAATGTCTCCTTATTGTGCCAGCCTAGGAAAAGGGAGTCAGGCATAGTCCCAGGCTGTGATGTGTGCTACAGCTGAACCACACCAACTGGGCATCTCTGACCTACCATCGAGGAGTATTGGATTAGAAGGGACATCTGGAGGTTTCTGGCCTAATATCCAGCTCCAAGCATGGCCAGCTCCAAGCATGGCCAGCTCCAAGCATGGCCAGCTCCAAGCATGGCCAGCTCCAAGCATGGCCAGCTCCAGCTGTTTAGGGCTTTGTCCAGCCGAACTCTGAATTCTTTCCAAGGATGTATATCACACAGCCTCCCTGGGGCTCTGCTTCAGTGTCTGGCCACACTCATAACAAAAAGTCTTTTCCTAACATCTAATCAGAATTTCCCTTGTGGCCATTTGTCTACTGTCTCTCACCCTAACCCCACACACCTCCAAGAGGAGCCTGGCTCCGGCTTCCCCATACCCTCCCACAAAGTAGCTGGGAACATTTGTCCTTTCAGCATTCCCACTGCTTTCCTCACACCACCATGCTCTGTAGACAGCACGCGCAAAAGCATACATTATGGGACACCTGCAATAGCCTGACTCAAGCTCAGCTTCAGTGCCAGCAGCACTGCTCCATCTTGCCAAGACTATGGAGAAAGAGTCACGTTTCTGCAGCCCCGCTCCCTTCCAAAAACAACAGGGCTGGCAGCTTTGCCACAACCTTCATTCACACCCGCACGAGACTACACACAAGGTTTTTCATACCCCTACCACCACAAGCTACAACCTTCTTTGCATTAGCCGATATTATGGTGTCCCTAACCAAGCTTTCCCCTTACGTTATACAGGTTTAGCAGATTCAGTCTTTGGCACTGCAGTAACGGGACATTCAATATGGAACCAAAGCACTCAGGACAAGTCCACCAACACAAGCCTTTGCAGCCTTTCTCTCCAGTACGTCCTTGTTTCTCTCGCACTGACAAGTCCAGAACTGGGCGCAGCACTCCAGTCCAGGCCTCCACCAGTGCCAAGCAGAGGGGAAAGGTCATTTCCCAATTCTCCCAGTCCAGTAAGAGAAGGGAAACATGGCTGGCCTGAAGACCGGGAATACGAGAAAGGCTGATGGCCTTCTCCAAGTAGAAGGACCAAGCAAGGGATCAAAGCATCATGTAAATCCAAGGGCCTGAGAGGAAAAGTGTCCCCAGCAAGAAGAGGAGTGGTGCTCTAGGCGCCTTCACCACCAGCTAAGCCATAAGCCAGCCAAACTGAGAACCTGAAAAACTTCAAGCAAGATAAGGGGTTTTTTTCAGTCAGCAGAAGATGAATTTGCAAGTGTTCTTCAGCAGCACAGAGAAGGGGCACAGATGCTGGAAGAGCAGGATATTTGGGATTTTACACCCCCTTGCTCTCACTGCTAGAGCTCTAACTCTAAAAAGTTAGATGATGGAAAAGACCTGAAGAAGCTTGGCAGGAGCTACTCCAGAACAAACAAGACCAGGCCTGAACTAGAATGGCTGAAGGAGCTGTGCATGTCTGGAGTCGGAGCTCTATTGAGGTTCAGGCTTCCCATGTGTACTTGAGTACTGAAGAAAGTGAACTTAAGGCCACACTGGGACTGGGGCAAGGGCAGGGATGGCAAGGCTCAGATTTGGGATGCTGCTGGTCTTCCTATTTCCGAGCTAATAAGGAGGACGTAGTGCAGCCCTGTTTCCCTTTGAACCACATCAAAGGCAAGTGAGCAGAGCCAGTTAAAGGCGGATTTCGGTAGTTTTTATTAGATGGGCTTACTGCCTCTCAAATATGCTCAAAGGGCACATCCATGAACAAATCCACACCTTACTTCCTCAAACAGGTCCTGCTTTTTTCTCCACACTGCAGGGCTGGGTAATATACCTCCTGGCACCACTATTTTTGCAGAGAGCCCTTCTGTGTTTGAAGCCTACCTTGCCAGGGACGTTCAATCTAGAACCAGGGCAATCAGCACAAGCTTCGTGTACTAGGAAACCTCCTTTTGCCCTTTAATCCACAGGGTCCTTATCCTGCCTTCTGTTTGTGCAACTCTCACCACGGAGATGATTGCAATCTCCAGGACAGCAAGAAGGGCCTGTTTACGATAATTGAGGGTAAGCCCCTTGCAGTAAGCAGCGGATTCCTGGTAAATACAAGCATCTGCACCCTAACACAGATCTCTGTGAGGTGTGCGAGACCAAGGGTATAGCAGATCATTTCCTAGCTCTACCATCTGCCCTCAAACATGCAAGTTTGCTCAGTGCAAGACAGTAGTTTTCAGGAAAGACCACAGGCAGGACTACTCTCACGAAAGCAAGGCAACAACAGAGGACCAGACCAAACTGGTTTCTTCAACTCAGCCTACAGTGAAGGAACATGCAAGAAAACACGGTCATTGCACAGCATGCTAGTACACCTCTGTCCTATTCCCATCTTACCACAGATTTTGCTCTCTACAAGACATTTGCAACTTGCAAGGAGTCTGGCCAAAGTCAACCATACAAGAGGAGCTGAGGAAAAACGCCTGGAGCCCTTTGTGTTCACATGCCTTCAGAGCAGCTTAGCTCCTGGGTTACTGGAGTCACACAGACCTTATCCATGCCCTCCCAGTCCAGCTCAGCATGAAAGCCACAGCCAGGTTTGGAGAGAACAGCCCAAGTCCAACTGTCTTCTCAGGTGAGAAGCTCCTGCTTTCACACTGGTAGTCCCAGGAAAGACAACCCAGTCAGCTTCCACCACCCGAGTGTGAAGCATGGCTCTCCCCATTCCATTTATACCCCTTAAACTTGCTTGTTTCCTCATCCTTCAGGGAAGGCTGGGGAAATGCACAGACCAAATACCAAGGCTTCTAAGGAGGCTCAGCACCAGCTGTTTGAAAGAGTACTTTACCCTATCAAGACTACTTCAATCTTGCTGTCACAGACTGATTCATCCCTGCAGGAGGAGGAGTTACCATGAGCAAGATAGAGGGGAAATTTCTCATTCAGATTTCCACTGCAACAGCATTTCAAACCTTTATGATAACAAGAGCGCTGCAGCAGGACAAAGGTCTTCTTATGCCTGCCGAGGCCAGGCAGATCCCAGCACCACTACCTAATCCTTCCTGACAGTTCCCATTTCCTTCAAGCAAGCCCAGACCACACTGACTTACATTTAGTCCCTGCTTCATCCCAGTAAAAACAGTCACTGCTTAGTCAATCATGACTACGAGGCAAGTCTTCTAGTGCCAGGGCAGCTGGAAAAGCTTCTTCTCATCTGTGGAAGGGGCAACGCGTGCTTTTGTGTGCCAGGTCCCAACACAAACACATCTGCTTCCATTAGGACAGCTGTACTAAGACCATAGCTGAGGTCCTGGCTACACCAGCATTTCCTCACAGGCCCAAAGGATTACAGTTATTACGGTGGCAGCAGTTTTCCTAGGAACCTTCAACTACTTAACAGAGCAGCTTTTGTCATCATCCTGCTCATCTCCTATTGGGTTCAAACACTTCAGCTTTCATGGTTAATGCATGCTCAGACCCCTCCAAGAGCTTTTTAACCTTCACCAGCTCTCAGTGCTGCTAATAAGAGGACACAGTTACACCCTGCCTTGCTCTTCCTGCCACCCACTGAATTGAGGTGTGGTATATTCCAGAAATTGACATTCACAGAAATACAGTTTTAGTTGATACTGAGAAGTGTCAGTAATGTGTCACAGAAGAGTACAACTTCTTACTAAAGGACATGAAAGAGTCAGCCAGCAGAGAAATATCATCCACAGCAGAAGAGACAGGCTGGCTTACAGCTTCCTGAAGTCCAAGACAACTGGGGCCAGTATCTTCACCCCTCCAGCAACACCCAGTTCAGCACAATATACACTGGTGACACATAAAGAGAACAAAGCCAGGCTAGAATATGACTAGAGAAGCCAAAAGGTGGTGGTGGTGGAGAATACTCCTTCCAGCAGCAGCAGGTCAGAGAGATCATTCTCACTGCTGGTTTTGGCAGGTATGGTCTCAGACAGGCACAGCAGAGACATCTCCAAGAAAACAGAGGTGAGCCAGGCTCCAGAAGTTAACTTCTGGGATAGTCATCTGTGGATAGCTATCAAGCAGAATCAAGGAGAAGAGCACACATGCAAAAGCCATGTACAGGTACTTTGACAATGTATGTCTTCCTCCTTTTGGAGTTACTTAAGTACAGCCACAGATAAAGATGACATGCAAGAAAGAATGTAATGGTCCGCTGAACATTGGGAAAGGCTTTTCAGCAGGTGAGCACATAAAATGTATGAAAGCCCATCACATGGGGTGTTTACAACTTGGCCTAAAGGCACTCGGGCATAGCCCCGAAGACAGAGCTTCTCCCTCCCCCACTTACTAATCTAATCATAAAGAGTCATTGTCCTACAGCAGATAGGTTGGGTTTTTATTGCTTTCTGCTCCAGGATACTAAAGAAAGCATAAACAATACCGCAAGTGGTCACAAAGCATGACTAATGACGGAACATTGCATGACCTGTGTTTCTGACAAATCCTCTGAAAGCCTCACCAAACTGTGTGCAAGGGGTCACGAGGACAGCCCTCTGTGTGGACAGCTAACGCTGAGAGCGGAAGTGCATGGCAGGGAGGAACCAGGCCACAGCTCAGGGGTTTTACCAGGATGGGTTAAGGTATTGCACTACTCATGCAATTTTAATGCTTTCCAAAACCAGCTTCAATGCAGACTAATGCCAGCAAGGCAAAAGTCACTATGTGACTGCATCGAGCAGTTACTCACATTACTGTAGAAGCATGTGTTTATTTTGGGTTGAAAAAGGGAACTCTCCAGTGGGATCAGAGCAGCGCTCTGAACTCAGCACAAATTCTAGAGGCAGCTTTAAATGATGATGTTGTTTTGACTACAGTCAC